ATGGTGCAGTGAGGAAATGCAATAGAGAAGGGCCCGGATTACTATGGGGACCCAATTTCTGTTCTTGGCTTTGTCACTGGTTGTCTTTATAACCTCCAGTGCATTCATTTAGCTGTCTGTACTTTGACTTCCCAAGCCTCGTATCACTTAAACAGATGTGACTTTTCATTAGTTGGTAGTGGAGCTTCATGCCAGTGGTTCAATCCACACACTGTTGTAATACTTCAGAAAGAAAAAAATCTGTGCCACGGAAAACATAGACAAAGAGTTGAATGAAAAGTTTTTGGGGGTTTTTTTAGTAGCTTTGAAGGAGCTTTTTGTGGTAGTAGATTTAAAGAGTATCTTCCAAACATATTGAAATGCATTATACCTGAAAGATATTACTGGCTCTGGAAGATGAGCTTATGTCAGAGTTGTCATTCTCTCATTGCATACTGTTATCAACCCATTCCAGAAATATATGTATTCACTTGCGTGGACTTGGAGACCTGACTGGTTTCTGAGTTTTTAAAATTACCATAATGCTTCTCTGAGAAGAAAATGGGCAAAGCGACAGTTTTTATCTCCAAGAGGACAACAATGTGATATTTTTTTTTATTTTTTTTTGAGATCATTTATAAGTGAAGACACTTTCCTTTTAGGAATGAAGTGATTTGAGTACCATTGGCTGAGGAGATGCCAATGACCCCCTGAGTTAAATCTCACCTACAATGTGTGCAAACATTCATAGTCTTTGCTCTTTTACACATAGATAATCGAAGAGTGAGACATGAGCAAGGATATTCCAATTCCATTTACGCTCCTCCTTGTATGGATTATTGCTGAAGATGTTGAATTCGTTTTCCTGTTAGTAAAATATGGAAATTCTGCTGTTACCCGCTTGAGTTGGAAGGCATGAACAATTGTAACTGGCAAGAGTAGGAAAGGGGCTGAAGCGTTTTTAATGCGTTTGGTTTATTTTGGGGTTTTCTAGGAGTATGTCCACTAGAGAGCAGCAAAAACCTGTATTCCTGGAAGCTTTGGCTATCCAGCTGATAAGACATGGTTTTCTGCTTTTAAGGGAGGAGGAGAGTAGCTTTAGAAGGATGAAGTGATCTATTTGTGCCGAGAAAACCATTCAGTGGTGTGTGATAGCGTACTGGGTCTTGGCAGGAGACTACAAGATGGTGGCATCAAACTGGAACAAAAGTATAAATTGTATCAAATTGCACTCATTGGGAATTCTGTAGCAAAAGGGAGGTGGGAACAAAATGAACAAGGAAGATAAGACACTAAATGCTTTATTTAGTCGTAGTGGTATCAGTGTGTCTCACAAATTCACAAGGCCGGGAAGATCTGTAAGCATAACAAGGTCAACCCAAACCTCATTTTTTACTTCAGAGAACTTGGCCTCTGTACAGTGACTCAGTGTAAACATATCTTACTGAATATGTGTCTAACTGTAGGCATTCAGATGTACATGCAGTTATGATGAGCCAAGAATATTATTTAAATATTAAAAAAAAATAAGGCCATGGATATAGCAAGAGAGATAAAAGCCTGCTTGTTAGGAAAGCTGAAAGAAATACCAGTGTGTGAATATTTTAGGAAACTTTTAATAGGTTAAAAAATAATTTGTTCAGGTGTAAATTACCAAAGGCACACCAACAGGAAAATAGCTGTTAGATGTTCTTCTCGTAGTCAAACTCTGAATAATCAGACTCTGTACTTCTCTGATGGGGAAAAATTGCATCTTCAGAAAGTGGTACGGTTAAGAAGCTTTACATTCCTGTGTGTCAGTTCTCATTTAATACATCTTCTAATCATTTTTTCAATAATCTTCCTACTAAACAAATAATTTTGCAGTCCCATTCATGGTGGTTTTTTGGTTGGTTTTTTTCTTTTTCTGACTGGTCTAGTAGCTGGCGATTCTCTCTTGAAACATGGATTATCTTTTGGTAGCAGTTCCTAAGAACTTTATTATACCTCTTCTGTAACAGTGAAGGATGATTGGCAGTAACTCGTTCCGATTCCAGGTCTTGGGAGGAAGAGGTGTTTTCAGAGAAGGAGGTATAACTTGGAACCAAGTCTTTGAGATGGAGCGTATATTTGAGATCAGATCACCATTTATTTAAATCCGTTATATCCAAAGATAGAGAGGCATGTAAAATCCAAGGCAATTCAAGTGGTCATCTTAAACTCTTGACTTCAGGTGAAACACCAGATTTCAGATTTTTCAGCATCTTTGCTTTGCCACCTACTAATTCTCACACCTTCGGTGTGAGATTTTTGTGTGTAACCTTAAAGAGGCTTGTTTGTGGATCAGTGCTTTTTTGTGTTTTGGACATGACTGTTTAAGATTTTAAACCTGTCTAAGCTTCTGCATTGGACACAAGTTCTGTGCTAGCTTTTGCTCTTCACAGAGGAACAAGTAGAGTCAGAGGGTATTGATATTTTTATTGCTGCTACTGTACTGTTTTCTGTCTGGCTTTGGTCCTGTAAATGCAGGAAGGAAACTTGAAGTAGTTGTCTTCCTTCTCCAAAAACATCTGCAACTTAGAGTGAAACCCGATTAGGCTGTCATTCCCATTTTCCTCCACATACTCTCTTCTTTACTAGTGCAGTTGATACCTTTAATAAATCAGGAACTTGAGTAATGTTAAGCAGCGTCTTCCTGTGGCTTCTAAATAACAAGTCTTAAACTGTATTTTGCTTGTGCGAAAGGGTATGTTCTTAGGTCATTTAGGGCTTGTTTTTTTAAATGAGGATTAAGCTTTATATCCCCTTTCCTTGGTGCAAAATTGAAGCCATCAATTAATGGATAAAGTATCCATCTTGGGTAGCTAGCAGCATCCTATTTGTCACTTACTGAAGCTATACCTGTGGTTATTGTGGAAAAAATGACATTATTTGTATTGGATTTGAAAATAGCATAATTGTGTGCTATGGAGGATACAGTGTTATTAAAAAGTTTAGGTTTTTAGAAACTGTAATGGTATTTCTTTACCTGGAGGAACATCTAGGATTGCAGCCTTTCTCTTTTAATACAAAATTGTTTAAGGAGAGATTATTTTAGCTTTAAATGTGACTTTTTTAATCTGCTGCTAGTTTTCTTTTGTCCCACTAAAAAGGCCTTGTAGTGTTGTTCTTTAGTGTTACAGTTCTGTGTTTATGTAACCAAGAGGACTTGCAGTGCCCGTAAACTTGCATTTCTTTAGTCATTCAGGTTGTTTCTCAACTCAGAACATGCATCACTACTAACAGTATTTTGTTTCTCAATACAGCGTTACAGTGTCACTGCCATCTATGTACAAAAGACAACTTCACATGTGTGACAGATGGGCTATGTTTTACCTCAGTAACACGAACTGCAGACAAAGTCATACACAATAGTATGTGTATAGCAGAAATCGATCTGATTCCCCGAGACAGGCCGTTTGTTTGTGCCCCCTCCTCCAGAGATGGAGTCATTACTTTGCCTCATTGCTGTGACAGAGACCACTGCAATAAAATAGAACTTCCAATTCCAACACCAGGTAAGGGGTTTTGACATATTTGTTTTGTTTTGTTTTAAACAGAAAATTCTGTAAGAATTTAAGAATAGCTTAACTATTAATAGAATATTTAAGAACAGTTTCAGTTTTGAAGTTGTAGGTAAAATTGAAAGCTTAAAGTACACCTTAGATTCTACAAATACAATTTCAAGAGTTTTTGGGACAATAAATTTTATCTTCTGGATAGGGATGTTAGGGCCAGCTTTGAAGACTTATATGCAAGTTAAATGGAAACTGAGTAAGCACGTAGTTGCTTTTGTCCTTTGTAATACTTAGTTTGATTCTTGAAAAAGTTAGTGTGCAAAAGTATTAACAAATACATTGAAATAATTTGAAGATCATTGTGAAATACAATAAAATTAGTTGCATAAAAAGAAATACATTTTTATAATTTTATTTTTACTCTCAGGCCCTACTCCGGGAAAACCATCTTCTAACCTGGGACCTGTGGAACTGGCTGCTGTCATTGCTGGACCTGTCTGCTTTGTCTGCATTTCACTAATGTTGATCCTATATCTTTGTCATAATCGTACTGTAATTCATCATCGTGTGCCAAGTGAAGAAGATCCATCACTGGATCGTCCCTTTATATCGGAAGGAACTACTTTGAAAGATTTAATTTATGATATGACAACTTCAGGCTCTGGGTCAGGTAATGTCACACTTCTAGTAGTAATTAATCTGTGTTTAACAGCCTTGTAAGGCATCAGTTTTTCTTAATATTGTCAAATTTATTTAAATACATAATTAACTGGAGAAATTGCTAGAAAAGCTACTTCCATGTAGATTTACTCAGTATCAGTGAAGATTCAATATATTGAAATAAGTGAAATAAAATAAACATATTGAGTTGCTGCTACTGTTCCTTATCTTTCTGAGAGTACAGTCTGATATACGTAGAATATCAGTCAGCTGTTGTAGATGTTTTGTTTCCTGTATTAGTGAGGCTCAGTCATTTACCTTTTTTCCTGCACAGCATATCTAAATTACCATCTTTTGTGATTCCTTACATAATTTGATTTTTTTTTTGTTAGCTTTAAACTAAAAATTTATTTCTATCTGTAGCTACTGGCATACAAAGAATATTCTGAATTCTGAGCTAATATTTTAGCCAGTTCTCTCCTTACAGAAGATGTTTTTTCAGTTGCAAATAACAATTTCTATGTGTATAGAATGGGTACAGGAAGCAAGCTACATCTAAAGAATTTCTGTCCCTTGATTTCGTGAATTTTTGTTCCAACTTTTAACAGGTGTTGCTCTGGGAAGAAGAGGCAATAGTCTGTTCACTGCATATAGTTTCTGCTATCGTAATTCTGACATAGTTGCTTATAAGATTGTGGTGATCTGTGTCACAGAAATGTGATTTAACAGGCATTGGTAGGGGATGATGTGTCAGATAAATCATTGTATAAATTAATTAATCTCCATGTTAAGGAGCGAGACATCAGATAGTGTACTGTAACCTCGTATATAAAAGGTTCAATACTGAAAATTATTCCTACTGCTTGCAAATGTGAGCTGAAACATCCATGCCATTTTGGAGTACTTACTGCAAAGAAATACTGGTGGTTGATTCTCAACTGCTGAATTCTTTTATTTCCCAGAATTGGAAAAAATTTTAATAACAAAACCGAAGCATCTAGGTTGTATTTTTTTCGCAAGGGCAGTAACTGGTAAAACTCCTCAGAGTCCGTTGCTCTATCAAGTAAACTCAACATAACTTGCTGAACATGTTTAGAATATAGGTCAAAATAAGTAGTCTTTAGTCATATCTTCACTGTAGAAGGTGAGGTTGCACTTAGTGTGTAGGCAGTTATTTTTCAGTTGAGAGTTTTTGTGTGTCAGAACATGATTTGATTGTGCTAGGGTAAGTTGCTCTCTGATTGAAACTGCAGCTTTAGTAGTTTGTGTTTATCTCAGTTTTCTCATTTACTAAAAGTAATAACTAAATCAAATTATGAAAGTGATTAGTAGATCATCCAGTATATTGGACTAGGACTTGATAAATGCCAGTGCTGGATTTACTCCTCCAGTTATGCTTTTTCTAGGAGAGGTGTACAGAAGTAAGAAACTTAGAGAATATGAAGGAGTCAGAGATTCACATTTCTTGGAATGCAGGAAGCTGTGATATACGATTGTTACACTGTTAGGAGAATAAAACTCTTAACATCTGCGGGTATAGACTTTTTCTGAAGAGGACTGAAAAAAACTTCTAATGTGCTAAAAAATAAAGTTAAACCTTGAAAGAATCCGTGTATGTTATACATGTATAAGTAGTAATCTACAATGTACTATCACTGCTATCACTTCAGTAAACCCAGGAAAGAGCCTTTTAAGGTTTTCCTTTCAAGTTGTGTTTAATCATTCTTGTTTTAAAGTACTTTCTGGTTGATAGTTCCCTTCTAACTTCTGTAGATAAACACAGCATCTCTACCACCTTTGCATGGATGCTTTCTCATACTGCTTTGATCAGAAGTTAGGCCTATCAGAAGTTAGGCCTATGACAACGTTAATTCAAACTTGGTTGTCAGTTGGTTTTTCCATTTGTCATCAGGAATGTTCCTTCATTTTTCCTTCTGGCCTTCTTCCCTGTGGCACTTCTGAGCCTCTCTTCTTGTTTGAACACTCTGGAAGTACCCTTCAAAAGAAGCTCTTGAAAAGCAGAGAATCCCAATTAAAAGAAACTTAGGATGCTTCCTCCAGAGCGAATGGTTAGCAACTACTGATTATTCCCTTGCCTGTTTGCAAATTACACTTTAAGTAAAAGCAGCATACCGGGGAATTTGTTTTCAGAGCATCAGGACACTCAAGCTGGTCTAGACTTGCAGAGCACCTGACAAACTATGGTATTTGAGCACTAGCTACTGATGGCTGCATGAGAGGAGACCAACAAATATGGCTGAATTTGACTTAGCTCTAAGGAAGGGTCTTCACTGATTTGTTTGTATGCTTGAAAAACAAAGTCATGCTTCCTGTAAAAAAAGAATACTGAATGTTTGCTTAAGACTAATCTTTTAACTTCAGCTGCAGTGAGTGTTGTTCAGCTGTTTATAAGACAAGTATTAGCCTTACGTAGTGTTCTGTACTTCCCTTTATGACAGTGGGATAGGAGGTGCTTCAAGTACTTATCTTCTGTACTGTTGGCAGTGTATGTATTTACAGTGACTTACATAACTTCATCTCAAAATTAGTCAATGACTGTATAAATTCATGATGCCGTAGCATTTGGAACTGATCGTTTTCTTGTCTTAAAATACGCCTGCAGCAATTGAATCTCATTGAAATGTGTTTTAATCCTGACTCTTTGGTACAGCACATTTAAAATTGAGAAGGCTGTACATTTATGGAATAAAATGAAATGTGCTGAACAGACATAATAATCCAGACCTAAGAGGCACAGCTGAGGAAGTGTTTGGTGTGATGAGCTAAAGTAGATGTTCTGTCCTTAAATTCATGTTGAGAAACAAAAAGAGCTTGTAGACAAATAAAAGGATTTCATCAGTTTTGAAGAGAAGCATATAAAACAGAAGTGATCAAAACTCTTAAAATTGAGCTTTCTATTTAGATGAAAAGGGAAGTAGGATTTATTTTCTGCAATAATGAATAGTAAGCTGTTATTAATTATTCAGTCTTGACTTCTTGTCTTGCCCTGTTGTTCCATGACGAACAAGGCCTGAAACAGCCAGAGGCTTGATGAAAGGACTTGATGAAACATCTGAAATAGATCCTGTTGCTGCAGCCACAGCTTCTAAGAGAAGGATTTTGGAGTCTCTTGGAGCTGAGAATGATTTTGAGATAATGAAGCAAATCTCTTAATTGTATGGACAGATTGGGATGCCCACCTGTTATTCTCCAGCTCAAAAATGACAAAGTAACTTAGTTCCAATGAAATAGGAAGAATTGTCTAAAACACAGGGGAGAAGTTTTTGTTACTATTGGTAGGTGACTTGAAGCGGCAGCTTAGTGTTCAGAAATCCAAAGGGTCACAAAAATCAATGCAAAGTTGAGTCAGTTGAAGTGGATGTAATACTCCTTAAAAACTTACTTGTGGTTCATAGAATCTTGAAGGCCATGAGATTATTTCACATTTCATGGGGTGCTTTGTTGGTTTTGGGTTTTTATTACTCCTCAGAGGAAGTCTTCTGGGCAGATATTTATACAAGAATATGAAGAACAACAAAGTTGTAGCAACTGTTTTTGTTGGCTGCCTTTAGTGCTTTGGGACTTAATTCTTGAGTTATCCAAATCAGATACAAACTTCTTATGCATTGGAACTAATCAGAGTACAGTTAATATGTGAAAAGTATTTCTTCTGTTAAACTCTCAGAAGGCTTGAGGATACTTTCTTATGCTGTATGATGATGAAGGCTTTAGGGATAAATTAGACGATCATGGCTGAGTACAAGATGCCAAATGTTAGGAGCTGCTGTTGAATTTAACATGGGCTTGAACTTTTTCATCCTCCTGATTAGCAAACTATCATCTTTCTTCATGCACAGTCAAAAGCAACTGTACTTCAAGAGCTTGAAATACAGTTGTGTCCAATGTACGTGTCAAAGGCTAATGTTGTATCTGTCTCCATTGAGCTACTCTTCAAGCAGTTGCCCAAGTTCCTGGTGATAAAGGGCTGTTTTTCCTCTCTAGCAAAAAGAGGGCACTGCTCAGTTGCAACAGAAAATATGTAAGGAATTTTTATGGACGTAAGATAAATATGGATTCCAATCTTCTGATTTTGTTCAGCAGCAGTAGTAAGAGAAGGGAGCAAGGTAGATAGAACACAATTGGCAGGGGGTTTATTGTACTGTGATAGTTAATGTGGTGATTTGGGATTTGTAATGTGAAATTGAAGTGCTTCCTGTCTGGAATGTTTAGACCTTTGTATCTGTTCAGAGGTTAGCTGGTATCCATGGACATCATCTTTTTTAAACAAGAAGGGATTTCTATAAATGGTACAGCAGGTTGAGAGCAGCACATCTGAAACTGAAAATGTACTAACAGTTTTCTGAAACAGCTGTAGGAAAAAGAAGCCATTATGCATATCATCCATTTCAAGTATGTAAAATCAGTTTGTATTTAATATTTGTCAGTGGATTTTGCAGTAGTACATAAATGCTAAGGAGAAAGCTTTCTCTGACCAGCAAAGTAGAATTTTACGTTTTCAGGGTTGAGTTTGGTTATTCTTGTCTGGCCTTTTCTGTGTATCAGAAGTCTGTCCATAAAGGATGCAAGTTAGACTTTACAGATGTGCTGCATTCCCCAACTGTAAAGGCTCAATTGACCTGAGGACAGCTATTACAGCAAAAAATCTAACTTTCTCAGTAGGCTTTATTGCAGCACCTGACAGTGATTAAATCACTGGTATGGTGTCCATTTTCCCCCTTCCTTTCTTGACATAGGTATGTTATCAGCACAGATTATGCAGAAAATTCCTGTAGGTCTGGAAGTCTTGAGGAACTCTTCTGAACACTGCGGTGTTTTAATTTGCACTGTTCAGACTGAAACACAAGTGTGGCAATGCTGCTGACTAGATCAGGTGTCTTCCTAGTGTTGTTATTAACAAAGAATGTCCAGAGGCAGATGGGAAGTAGTTATTTGAGCTATTAGTTGGGCTTTATTTTCTATAGCATAAGCAGTACAGATGTTCTGCTATTGGCTATTGGAACAGTGATTGTGGAGTAATAGATTAAGTGAAATAATCCTCTACCGAAAGAGCTCATTGTAAGCAGATAACCTGGCTGATGCATTCATACTGCAGTGTAGGATCGCTGCAGAATTCTGTGACAAGCCTTGCAGTTAAAACAAGGGAGATTTAAAATAAACAAAAACCCACCCTGGTTGGGGGGAGCCAGTGCTTCTTGTATAAACTTACTGAAGCATGGGATGATGTGTTGAGTTGAAAGCATGTAGATGTACCGAAGCTATAAAATGTTTATGAATGTAAGCATTTTTCTCAAGTGTAATTATAGTGCAGTGCACAAGAATGGCCTGTAAAATGGGAAGCTTGCATTTTGAGGATGTTTTTCTATTTTACAGTGGCTTGCGATTACTAAAAGGCTGCTGGCATACTTGGGTAGTGGTGTGAGCATTCAACAGTCAATGTTGCTGATAAGCATGGTTTAACTGAGAAATGGACCGAGTCGCATGTAGTGATAAATCCAGTAAATTAGTAGCAAAATCAGTAGCAAAAGCATTCTTGAACTGCTTTGCCAGGAGCATTATGGGCAGATTCTTTTCCTAAAAAAAAAAAAAAACCAAAACAAAAACAAAAAACCCCCACAAAACAAAACACCCTACCCACACAAAATAAAAAAACCCACCGCACATCTCAGTCCTGGTCTTGATTGCTTCATGGTTTGTATCTTTTTTGTTTTCATTCAAAATAAGACTTCATGGATCAACAGCAGTTAAAATTCTAAGCTAAAAGGAAGTTTGTGCTTTATTTTTAACATCTGTAGAGGCAATTTGTAGGTTAGTATCTTTGAATACTTGTGTTGCTGGTCTTTAAGGTTAAAGGCAGCATCTAATCCACATGCTTGTTAGCAGTTAGCAACAAGTTGTTAAAATCTTGCAAGAGTTTGTGTGCATTCTAAAAGAAATACCTTAATGGAATATGGATCTTATATTTAGTACTTAAGATAATAGCTTATTTTGATAGTGGTGTTTAAGGTTAATGTTAAATCTTCTTTTTAGGTTTACCTTTACTTGTGCAAAGAACAATTGCAAGAACTATAGTACTTCAAGAAAGCATTGGTAAGGGTCGCTTTGGAGAAGTCTGGCGAGGGAAGTGGAGAGGAGAAGAAGTTGCTGTGAAGATCTTCTCTTCAAGAGAGGAACGCTCGTGGTTTCGTGAAGCAGAAATTTATCAAACAGTTATGCTACGGCATGAAAACATTCTTGGCTTTATAGCTGCAGACAACAAAGGTAAGTGATACTATTAATTCATTTTGCTGATTCTGTACTCAGTCAGAATAGATGGTAAATGGAGGGGAGTATAAAGTTGTAAGGATTCATTAAGGAGGTAGTTCTTCCAGTTTAGCAGGTGTGCTATCATGGTGCTCTGAAAGAAGCAAGTGTATCACAATATGGCTTTAGAGAGACGAATGGCTTCAAACCACCTATTAACAGTTGTTCATTGTAGGTGCTGGCACTAACTGATAAATGCTCATTAGGTGCCAGGTGCAAGATGAAGTATTAGTTCACAACTGTTATAGCTATGAAGGGTTTGCATCCATTTCCCCATAGAGCAGAGTATTGAATGTGTTCAGGAGTTACTGCAGCCAGGCTGGAATGCACGGTTATTAGGCTGAGATCTTGCAAAGATGATTACAGAGATAGAGCAGTACAAGGAATTTCTTGTGGAATCCCAAATCAGTGCTTGCTGAAAGCTCCAGTGATAAACAGAGAAGAATTCTCAGGAGTAGGTTCTTTTGTATCCATCATGAATGCTGAGGACTTGTATCCCCTACTATGTAGTTGTGGTGTAAATGTGGGTCAGTGTCATGCTGCAATTCTTGCTGCTAGTAAAGGCATTAATTAGATCTGTCCTCAAACACATCTGCATGTTCCTCAGCAGTTGTGAAAAATATCTGGCTGGCCACTGTGATTGTAAAATTGGAGGTGGGGAGGGGGGGTTGCCTTCAGGTAGAAGAGTGTATGTATAGATTAGAAAGGGTTTACAAGTGCAGATAGATCAGCTAAGTCGGTGGCATTTGGCTCCCATGGTGGAGTCATAAACCTTGTGACTGAACTTCTTCCCTCCTACTTCACAACTACACTGTTTAGACATTCTGTGTGTCTTAGTTGCACATTCTCCTCCATCTCTACTTCCCTACAGCTGTATGGAGTTCAGAGGGCTGCAGGAGCTGGTCCAATCTGTCTGCTTTCCCATCCCAAAATTTACTGGGAAATAAGTGCTGCTATTAAGCCAGCTGGAGGGCTGAGAAGCAGTGAATGATTTTAAATGCAGTTACGTTCTGACTAGCATGTTTTAGTTCTGTGTGGCTTTTCATTTAGTAAGGAGTATATACAAACTTTCAAATACTGCTAGGTCAGGGAAATTACTTTCTGGGCGAAGTGTTGCCTTGCTTTGAACTACCTAAACAGATAGTTTGGGTTTTGAGTGGGTTTTTTTGTTTGTGTTGTTCTTTCTAACCTAGATACTTAATTGTAAAGTGTATCAGGGACTATTTACCTGCACTGTGCTACTAGCAGAAGAGCAGCAGCAGCAACCTCTGGTTACAGTACTAAAGGTTTCCCTGGATTAGGTTTCTGTAACCATAACTGTCTGCAGTCACATTACAAGTAAGGTGAAGTCTTGTACTGCACACTTTCGGGTGACTTTATGCAGTAAAATACTTTGGCCTCTCCGTTCCTTCCCCTTAATTGAAAGCTGCGCTTCCTTAGGTGAAAGCTTTGTTCAGTCAGACTGCCTTAAATGGTAAGTAGAGCCCCCAGAATGATATTAGGCAGTATGCTGTGGAGAAATGAGTGGAATTCCTTCCTCTTGAGAAAAGTATTATTTGAGCCATTTATTCTTTTTGAAGCTCTGGCTTTAGCCTGAGAAGAAGGAATTTGACTGGGAGATCCTGCTTATCTACACAGCTCAAGTGCTTTTCATCAGTTTAATCAGATGACTATCTCAAATGTGATGGAGTCAAGCTGTTTCATTAACAAAGTATCTGTCCTCTTCCAGCCACAGACAGAAGTCTTTTTCCCAACATCTCCCTGAATATCTAATTTCTGAGAGTTTTCTCGTTATCACATCTCTGTATCTGAGCCTTTCACTTCTTTCTTGTATTTTTCTCTGTTAGATTATCTGCATGCCAAAAAAGGCCAGTGTATCCCACACTCTGCTGTGAAACACTCTGCTACATGACACTAGAGAGCACATGCAATTAGGCAGTTACTGTAACTTTTTAAACATTCAACGTGGAATGCAAGTCTGCAGTTCAAAACTCCTGTACTATGCAATACTGTCACATTTTAAAACCTAGTATTTGGTTTAAAAACAAGCATGTGTCAAGTCCAGATTTTTTTTTGCTCATACCAATGCGAAAAAACCATTTTTTTTTTCCCTGAAGTGAATTCAGTCAATTCAGTTTTAGTTGAAACTTGGTTATATATTTGATAAAGTAATTGTTATAAATGCCTTTTTTAAGAGGTGGTTTGTCTAAGATGGATGTTGCTTGGACTTCACTAATGTTTTTCTCAAACAATTCAGTCTTCTAAGAAAAGATCTGAAAGTTTCTTTACTTAGTATTTCAAATTCTGTTAGAACTGTGAAAGAAAAGCCTTTTACTTCTGAGTGATTTTGATGGCCTGAAATACTTTCAGATTTCTTACAAACAGATGAAATAACCAGAATTAATCTCTTAAATAGGTTTCCAAGAACATACATTTTTGTAGTGTTCTTCAACATTCTGAAATTGCTTGATATTCTTGATCGTGGTGTGTATATAAACTAAATTAGGTTACATTGGAAGGCTGTGCTACTGTATGTAATTACTACTGAGTGTAATTACTTTTTCTTACCTGATAATGCAAATCCTGTGATTGAAAGCTTCACGGCAGATGCTGTTTACTGTGCAGCCAAGAATACCCAGGGTCAGGTTAATTATTACTTGGTAATAATTAACTATTGTCAACAGTGTAAGAACACTTAAGTTTATCGTAACATGTGTTCTGCTTAGATTGCTGAAGGAATGTGTAGCTTATCAAATACAGCAAGGTAAAGAAAACTTAGTCCATCCCATCTAATAGCTGGACATTGTGCTTATTGCTGCATTTCAGTTTGTCTGTAATTAATATTATTCATGTAATCTTGGATGTAACACAATCCCTTCTTAAAATCCAGAAGTGGAAGGCCACAAATATGACATACAATGAGAGAGGATTATGGCTCCTTTCAGAATGGGTAGTAAGTCCAGGTTTGTATTTTCTCCTTTGGAAGGAAGGTAAAAGCAGTCTGACTATTAAGACTTGCAGGTAATAAACTGAAATAAACTGAAATAGAAGTATCTGTAATCAGCAGCATATTCTCCTCTTAGTTGGGCACCCAGAGTTAGCTAGGGGAAACATTTCTGCGAAGACACTATAATTTTGATTCAAAGCAATGGTAATTCCTCAGAAACTTCGTGGTATCTTTAAAAGATCTGCTTAAACACAGTAAGTCTGGTAGGCTACTTAAAATAGATTACTAATTTCCCTACTTATTGATGTCTAGTTTATACGCTTGCTAAGATATCCCATTCATAAGAAACATGAGAAGAAATCAAATACAGGATCAAGTGTGACTGCATATAATGTTAATGTCCAGGAGAGGATTATTTTAGGCAATGTAGATTCATAAGTGGTGAAGCAGTAGAATAAAACTGAGTGAGAGAATATTCTAAACTGATTAAGCTTTTTACGGCTTTTTATACCTCTTTGTATGTATTTGAGAGCATATTTTAAATGCCTGTGGACGCATACTTGTTTCAAGTAGTTCTGCAAAACTAGTTCAGTGAAGCTAATACGGTTGGATTGACTTTGAGACCATAGTTCTTTTTGGAAAAAGTAGTATTTAATAGTATGATAGTTTATGCTTGGATATGTGAAGTAGCAAAAGAATCGGCAGTCCTAGCTGTAAAATAATTCGAAGATAGCAATTCAAAGGTGTTTTGGGTTTTTTTTAATTTATTAAAAAAAAACCAACAAACAAACAGAGCTTAGGAGTCACTTCTGTGGGCATATAATAAGAAACCTCCCACTGCAATAGCAGCTAACAGTCTTTTGCAGGTTAGATCGTTTGACTGCTTTCTCTTGCCTGTTTAAATTAACAACTTAGTTTAGACTGTTCTGTAAATTCAGCAATGCAGAATTCTCTTTCCATTATGAAAACTGTTTGAATGTAGATTAGACTTTTTATTTCCCTACTCTGAAGCATTTGGTAGCTTTTTAATTATTTTTTTTAATTCTCTTTAATGGCATCGCTGGCCTCCCTAGAAGCATTCAAGTAAACGGGATGTTTGAAAGTTTTCCCACCCCCAGCCAAGTGACTTGTTTAGAGATAAGCACAAGTACTTTTATAAAGGTAGTTTCTGTCAATCTGTAGATCAGGCATGTTGTGCCTTTGACTTTTCTGGGCCAAGTGTGTTCTTTGAGCAGAGTACAGAAAGAAAAGTAGGAAATGTAAGAACCTCTTACTTGGAAACTAAAATATTTTCGGTATGTTTATGACAGGCACAAACTTCTGAATACACTTCTCCCCTTCCTAATCTTCATTTTTAATTCTCGAGTGTGTGTTTGATAATTCTTAGGGACAAGCACATAATGAGATACCTTTTTGGCTTGTGCTGAGTTTTCTCACTTGTTCTGAGGGAATAGTGGCTGTATAATTCAGAATAGAAATCCAACTGAAATCTTCTATGATAAGTAATCTTTAGAGAGCTGAAAGACGTCTATATAAAAACACTTCTCAGATCTGCCACATGAGAGTTGCTTTTATAACAAAACAAAATTGGAAAACCTATTTGGTGGCAGGGTTGTTCTTGGCATATTTCTACTTCTTTTGCTCCCCTCTTGATTTGAATTCCTTTAATAGTCTTCTCTCTTAAATATTTTGTGTCCACTTGTTTGATAATGTGAACAATCTAGTTCTTATCTGTCACTTGTATGCCTTAGTATGTCTGCATATGTATTATGTCTTCTTATTAATAGTTCAGTGAAAAACCGGAGAGCAAACCAGTTTTCTCATAATTGGTGTTTTTCATTCTCTTTACCCTTGTGCCTCCTGGAAACCTCAATTTTGGCCAGCAACTTAAAGGTCACCAGAGATGGGATTTGATTTTTTTGGTTTTGAAGTAATGTGTCTGATTGCTGCTTGCAAGCTTGTATTTCAGGAGGAAAAACCCACCAGCTGCTGCTAACTATGGAAATTGTTTCTCAGGCTGAGGCCAGATAGGTTATGGGAAGACAAGGAGTTACAGGGCAAGGCTTGAAAGACTTGGGTTTTTGTTTTGTTTTTTTTTTTAATGGGGAATGTGTACAATATTATACTAGACCAATAGTGTCAGCAATGCATTCAGCACTGCTCAGAAAAGTTAGGGGAAGGCAGGGCCTGGCTGATACCCTGAACAGTTCACCTTGCAATCATTGCGATAGCGGCTTTCTGCATTTCCTTAGAGACATTTAAATGTTACAGAGATAGAAATAGAGATTTGAGAGTCGAATTGGCTGAGGTTACCTGCAAACCATAATTTGCACTTCATAAGCATTGTATAAAAGTGATGTATATGGTCTGCTTGTCATTTGTGTGGTATTCATGCCAGTGTTATTTTGCAGACAACGGAACGTGGACTCAGCTGTGGTTGGTGTCGGACTATCATGAGCACGGATCACTGTTTGATTACCTGAACAGGTACACAGTAACAGTGGAAGGGATGATAAAATTAGCTTTGTCCACTGCCAGTGGTCTGGCTCATCTTCACATGGAAATTGTTGGTACTCAAGGTAATCTTCCAAACTGTTCAATCTGTAATGTGAATAATACTGGATTTTTAAAAATGGCACATACATGGCTCTTTCTACTATAATTCTCTTCTTAATTAAAACATTCAACCTTTTCAGGGTGTAGTTACTTTGCACACAGCTACTTATGTGACGAGAAGGCAGCTGAATTCCGTACAGATGCCCAAGTTAATCCCCTGTGGAACCAAGTGAATTGAAAAATGTTTGAGACCTGTGATAATTCCTGAATTAATAGAACTTCCAGTTTTGGAAGGTTTTTTTTTTACCTTCCTTTCTATGGTGTATACAGGTAGTACCTGTATAGTAGTACCTTCTTAACTTCGATTTGAGACAGTGCTATGGATCTGTTTCCAGGGACATCAGAAACTTGTTGCGGCAAGTAACATGTGTGTGCAATAAATACTTGCAAGAAGAGAGAAAGGAGCAGTAGAGTGGAGTAATACAGTAGACATTTAAGGCACTTTTCTGGACAGCCAGCCAATCAAGGAATAATTACAGGAGTCACCTTGATTCACATAAAGAAGCAGAACTGGAAGGGATTCTGTAACTTCAAACAAGTCTACACCAGGCTAAGAATAATAGTGATTATCTTTTTTTTACAGATGTGTTATTTCTATTTTTTTTCCCCTTACAGGCAAACCAGCAATTGCCCACAGAGATTTGAAATCAAAAAATATATTGGTAAAAAAGAATGGAACATGCTGCATTGCAGACCTAGGATTGGCTGTTAGGCACGATTCAGCGACAGACACAATTGATATTGCCCCAAACCACAGAGTGGGAACAAAAAGGTAAAATCATTAGCGTGATGTGTCAGATGACTTTTATAATATGCTTTGGTTTTTTTTCTTGTCTCATATTGGAGATTTTTGTGGGCACAAACACAAGCAGCAGAAAATTGTAAATAATGGCAGGTAGAGTTCATAGGCACTTCCTTACCAGCTGGTTGAATCTTGGCATCTATTACTAGCATGTGTAAAATACCAAAAGCTTGCAAAATATTGCAGGGCACAAGTATATATTAAAACAATTAGGAGACTTCATGAATGATGGTTTTAGAGACTTCACTGCTTTATCTTTATTCTTTTTGCTTTGTGTTGCATGGAAACATTGCTTGCAGCTCAATCTGGAGTGTAAAACTGTATATTGATAGTGAAAATAAAAAGCTGGATTTTTTTCAGTGTGAAGCCTATGTTGTAGAACATAAGTGCAGAGCTGTGGACACAGGCCTTCATGGGGTCATATTTTTCAGAGAAATATGAGAATTTAAAACAGCAGTGTTGTGGTTTAGGCCCAGTGCATAACTGAGCACCATGATGCCCCAAAAAGGGCTAGTCAAAATAAGGACTGGGAGGGCTTCTCACCACTTAAAAAGGTCACAGGCAAAAGACAGACTCATCATAAGGAATAAAAACAATTTTAATTTGTTACCAACATCAGAGTAGAACAGTGGGAGATACAACCAGATCTTAAAGTCAAGAAACACTTTTCTCCCAGCCCTCCCTTCTTCCCGGGCTCAGATTTTGTTCCAAGTTTCTTCACCTTCCCCCTCCCCCTTTGCCATGAGGCACAGGGGGATGGGAGTGGGGCGTTGCACTTGGTTCCTGCTATGTGATACTTCAGTAGTAGGAAAAACTCAACCCAGTGTCTCTCTCTGCTTCCACGTGGCCCCCTTTCCACAGGGGAAAAAGTCCTCAGAAGTCCAATATGGGTCTGCCCACAGCTGCAGTTTCCCTCACACACGAACTGCTCCAGCACACATTGCCTGGAGTCACAGCTTCTTCAGGGGCAGCCACTGCTCATGTGGCCCTGCCCCACCGCTGAACTCTACGGGCTGCAGGCCAGTCGACCCAGGTCTCGCCGCAGGTTGCAGAAGGGGAACCTGGATTCTCTGTCCTCCTCCTCCCTCTCCTTTCTTTCCTTCAACTGACCTTGGTGTTCTTCAAAAGTTGTTCTCCTTGGGCCCCACTCTTTTCTCCACTGCAGGTCTCTTCTGATGGTTCTGGAGTTCTTGGCTCGCTCTCTTTTTTTTGGGATGGAGGTGCAGTGGGGCTTAAGCTTAAGTTGTGATCGGGGCCAGCCAAGCCCACCTGCACCTCAGGCTGCGCTGGTCAGGGCTGGTGCCAGAGAGAGAGAGGAAATGCCCTGCACCCCCCTTAAATACATGAATTTGCAGAGGTGCTGATTGGCTTGGCCCTGGTCAGAGGTGGGTCTGACAAAGGCAAAGGGGGAGCTTTTCAGGTAGCTTCTTAAAGGGCCATCTCCATAGCCCTTCCCCCATTACCAAAGACACAACCAAAAACCCATCACAGAAAACCCAATACAAGCAGTCATATTTGTCATCTAATGCTTAAATAGATAATTAATATCAATGGATGAGTCAGTATACTCCTTTTCTTTTAAAGGTCTGTTTCTGAAATACAGATTTTTCTTGTCTTCAAAAGAACTCAGAGCTGTTTAACTCCATCAACACAAGTGCAATTAAACTTACTGGCTGTTATTTATCACTACCTGTGCAGCTATATAGCATACAGAGATAGCAGCACTAACAGTGAACCACAGCAACAAGAGCTGTGTGATGTGGGTAACTTTTTGTCCTTTTGATGCCAGTAGGTTCAGTGGTATGGCAAACTGAAGTCTATCCCTGTCAGAGGAATCTGTGGAAGCCCAGCAGTTCAGGGCTCTATGTGATTAACTTCAGCATATTCCCTAGCAGCATTGGAGAAAATTTTGTGTTGATGTTGCCCTATCTCCAATCCATATGTTAAAAATATTTTTTTATATATCTCTTTAGTAAGTGATACTGCAGGGGCAGGGCATGGGGTGTGATTGGGCTTTTACAGTGAACTAGGATACCCCTTTAGCTGTGGTTTGGTTTGTTTGGGTTTTTTTCAGAAGATCAAAAAACGCTTTTAAGGATCGGTGAACAAAAGCTTTTAGAACATGTTCTGAAAACTTCTTTTACTAACATTTATATTGGTGAAATTACTTTTATTCTGAAGCTCTGCTGTACTAGTTCTTTGCCAACTTTAAAAATACCACACAAATGGTCAGATGAGATTTATTTTTCTGAACTACTACTAGATTAAAAGTACTCAGCATGATTCCTTCTCAAAGTCTCCAGTAATCATTGGTAGTGAAAAGCAGACTACTTTGGAATTTGTCCTTGCAATCTTAGCTGTGTGCAAGGCCCACACCAGTTGTTACTTTGTAACTTTTTCTACTACACCTACATGCAAAGAAAAATGATGTGCAAATCAGTTACTTTCTTTAGTGTAGTCTTTGGGGAAAGCATCCTTTCAGCAGAATCTCTAGATCCAACTTACAAGATCTCTTCTTGCGTAGGTGCTATTGAGTTGCTTGTTCATCTGCCGTATCCTTCTCCACAAGGGTAAAAGCTGTAGCTGCTCTCAGGCTTGCTGCAGTGGGCAGCAGCAGGACTAAATCTGTTTCCCACTTTAAAGACATTAGTCACGTCTACCTCTCTGAAAATTGTTCATTCTCATAAAAGGCTTGGTCCTCTCTTCCTCCCTCTTGTGCGTTCTTAGGTAAATAACTCTGCACCTCTAGTTAATTTTTCATAATAAAGTTCAGATCTTACCTGTTCAATGACAGTGTTAATTCCCATTGGTTGCCACTGCTGGTACCTCTTCTGCACATGGAAGCTCTGTGTGCAAGTTCAGGGAGATTTGGCAAAGTTTATATTTTTCTAATGATTAGCTATTGTAAAAACGTGTGGGAGCAAGCAAGACTCACTCTTGGATGAGTGATCTAGATGCCGAGTCAGACTGATGTTCCTCCTAGACAGTTGTCCTCTACCTGTGCTGTGTTTATCACTTGTGAGGAGTTGATATGCCTGTACAGTGCTTAGGAGGACTTCACGTCAGCATCCCTTCTTGAAGTTTTGGACTGCTTGTTTCATCTTTGCTCTTTTGGTGATAGCCCTTGCTTCCTTGTGTGTGTCACTTCCATAAGATGCAGTAGTGCCGAGAGAGGTCTGATAGTCCTGAAATTCAAGTAATGCATCTTGTATTCTGCCTACCATTCCTGGTACTAGGAAAAGAAAATTCTAGTCTTATGATGATTGAATTGAAATTGTGTGTAGTCTTCTGTGGCTGTTCTAGAGGTGGAGCAGTTGCCTGACGCTATATTCTGCTCCAGTAATCTATGCTTGTGCTTTTTTACCTGATAACTGTGCTCTCCAAAGCCCTCGTATCATTATTTGCTTGCTTCCATAGTGTATCAGCTAGAGATTGGCAGGGCAGTGACGTGGAGCAACACAGTAAACTCTGCTAAACATACTGGATTTAGGTGCCAGAGCTGTACCAGCTTGAGAGTGCCATAGTGTAACTGTTCTTGACTGATAGAGCATATACCATTCATTCTTTCCAGCAGCCAGTGGGGGATGCCGCTGTCGGTAACTCTCACAATGCAGTCCACACTGACATTTTTGCTTACTGTTCCCACAATAGGCCTAGCCACTCAACAAGGTAACAGTTACTTGGATGTCAGGGCCAGTTCTCAGTCTCCTGCTTCTGAGTTGAATGTCACAGCTTTTTTCTGTTGCAGGAAATGTTGATAAAATAAACTATTCTTGCACACGCAGTTATTAACATAGAAGAACCCCAATAGGATTTACAATAAATAAATAAATGAAGCCTGGCATGGTTTATAATGGGACTTACAGCCTGCATGATGAAGAATCGGGTACTGAAATGGCAGAGAGCCGTTGTTCCCAAGGAATCCTGAACAGTGCTGCATTTCTAACCAGTGTTATGAGTGGCTGCTATATCCTGACAGATTGCAGGAGCTGAGGCTTCTTCCTGCCTGGCTTTTGGAGCCTGGTGTGTCCAAAAGGCTGGGGTTCTGTCCATCCCAGGCCCATGGTTGTGGCTGCTGCTTTCTTACTCAGGATTCACCCACTAGTGAGGCTGAGCATACACAGAAACACACAATACTGACAAGGCTGATGACACAGATTGCTATACACTGTGCTGTCTTCAACACCCACATAAAACACTGTCAGAACTTGCATAAAATATAGGTATAGGCAGCCAAGTTTCCTTCCTTCTCAGCTTATCAAGATTGAACTTCATTAGTGAAAACACACACACGCCGCCTTCTGCAGTCTCACAAGCCCATGCACATTTATGAATCCCTCAACTATCAGTACAACCCTGTGTGGCTAATGCCCTCTACTGTGCTCCACAGGTCTCCTGTTCACCAGCTGCACTGGGTTAATTTGCAGTAGAAAACTGATGTGTGTACCTGTATGCAGACCTACATGCATTGATTCCCTTGAATACCAATACAGGCCCTCCCCTTGTCAGATATCTCTGCCTGAGCTGCCTATTCGCTGGCTAGACCAGCTTGAGGTTTGCTCATCCATGCACACCTGCCATGCACTCCAGGTTTGGGAAAAATAAAAACCTTCCAGCTCACTTCAGCAGCTGGCACCCAGGCATACAGACCTGATAACCACTCCAGTTACTGGTGCTGAGATGCCTTTGCTCTCATCCCAGTTTTCTCCTGGGAGAGAACTCCTCTCTCTGTGTCTTGCACTGAAAGGTCTTTGATTGGATAACCTTAATGAAGCAGATTTTCCTTTGTCTTCTCTTCCACATAAGCTGGTAGCTGGTATCTGTAAGTATGTGACTATGAAGCCTGTGACACATGGTGCCAGCCACTTCAGTGGCTGAAACAGAGACCCTCATTTGCTCCAGTTGCTGGCACCAGGGATGCCTTCACCCACTTTCTGACGGCAGTTCCTGGCACAGAATTCATTCACACTGATCGCCCACAGTAGCTCTGGATATGTGCTGCTAGGATCCACAGTTCCCTTTCCACCTGCTGATGCTGAGACCCTCCTCTCCAGTTGTTGTCACCCCATGCCCAAGGGCATCTTCATCCTTTGACTCCAGTTGCTAGCCTGCACTTGCTGGCATGTAGTCCTTAGAGCAAATGTGCACAGAGTTGAGAGTGAGGTTGGCAAGAAAGATAGTCAGGATTTAATAAGATGGGATGACTGTTAATGCAGCTGGCCCCTTTGATATATCGCTTTCTATCTATTGCCCCACTTCTCTTCCTCCCAGTTACCCTTCTCCTAAACACTCCTTGATAAGCATTGCCTAGTCCCACAGGCCTTCCTTGAATATCCACAATCAATGCACAATCCAAATCGTGTTCATCTTGTTTCCCACTTAACAAGCAGGTACAAGGTTGAGACTCATCCTCTCTAAAGCTATGCTGAGAGTTTCTTAGTAGCCCATCAGTTACAAAGTGGAGACTTTTGGTCTTCGTCATTGTCTCTGTTATCTTATGTCTGTCAGGTTTATGGCTCTGTGTTTATTGTTTCACATTTTATTTATTCCTCCGATTCATTTGCTTGTTCCTCTCAGTTTACTTATATCCCCTTTGCACTGGAAGGTCTTTGCTTGGGTAGCCTTAATGAATCAGATTTCACTTTTCCACATAAATGTTTAAATTTGGGGTTGAGCCAATCAGTAGCATTGAACTTTCTCTACAGTAAGTATTTATAAGTTGTTTTTTTTTAATTGAAAATAGGTACATGGCACCTGAAGTTCTAGATGATTCCATAAATATGAAACATTTTGAGTCATTCAAGCGAGCAGACATCTATGCAATGGGATTAGTGTTTTGGGAAATAGCACGGAGATGTTCAATCGGTGGTATGTGGCAATCTTTACAAAGTTATGTTATTATGTTAAGCCTGTAAACGATGACTGGTTTATTCAACCTTTTTGTAAATTGATGAACTGTACCTGTTGACAAAAATAGGAAATATCCTTGTCTGTATTATTTTTTTTTTCATAAAACCTTTTCATAGACAGAAGAAAAAGGTGAAGTTAAATGTCCTTGAGAGCAAGGGACAAACACCACAAGTAAGGACTAGCTATGCGTTCAGATAACATCAATACCTTATTTAAAATAAAACATGCTATTATAAATCATGCTTCCAAGAGGTATTTCTTTAGTATAGCACATGAAAGATTTGACATAGCTTCCATCTTTTCCAAATATATAAATTTCAAAACTAAAAATTCTTTAAGGATTATGTAAATGGTCATAAGGTATGTTAAGGATTTCTTTTTTTTAATTTATTTGTCAGTCATTGTAATGTAATTTTTAAAAATAACTGAAAAAAATGAAAATGGTAGAATACCAACAAGGAACACAGTAAAAAGTGAGGAATATGTGATTTAATGTTAGCTATAATAAAGCTATTTTTAACATATTTCAGGAATCCACGAAGATTACCAGTTGCCATACTATGACCTCGTTCCTTCAGATCCTTCTGTTGAAGAAATGAGGAAAGTTGTATGTGAGCAGAAGTTAAGGCCCAATATTCCAAACAGATGGCAAAGCTGTGAGGTATTAACTAACTTTGCTAAAGCTGCTTTAATGGACACTAGAGATTTTATTGATTTCAGTGGCTTAAAAATTGTGCTTGTTGTTGAAGGGAGAAGGGTTTCTTATGGGAGAACTTAATTTCATTCTGATTGTTGTGGCTTTATTCAGTGTTGCTGATCCTTGGTCGTACATTAATATTTAATGTATATTCACAAAAATTAACAGCTAACTCTGTGTGGAGGATTTTAGGATCCCTTCCTGTGAAGCATAGGTGATTATAATGTAAGTTAAAGCTAGTCTGGATTATATTCTATAGGAGGCATCACTGTGCAACTGGGGGTTGCACTTCATCTGGCTGGGATAGAGTTAACTTTTTTGCTAAGAGCCTGTGTGGTTCTGTTTTGGATTTGTGACCAGAACAGTTTGATAGCACACTGATGTTTTAGCTGATGCTGAACAGGGCTTACATAGCTTCACGGCTTTCTCTGTTTCTCACTCTGCCTCTTCCCTACTGCTGAGTAGGCATGGAGTACACCCAAGGCTGAGAGGGAATGCAGCTGGGACAGCTGACCCAAATTGCTAAGAGGGATATTCCATCCCATGCAATGTCATGCTCAGCAATAAAACTGAGGGAGGGCCAAGTTTTCCAGGGGTTGCTGTTGCTCAGGGACTGGTGGGCATTGGTCAGATGGTGGTAAGCAATTGGGTTTTTATCACTTGTTTTTCTTTATTTTGGCATGTTTTCCCTGTTTGCCTGTTAAACTGTCTTTATCTCAACCTGTGAGTTTTCTCACTTTTGGCCTGCTCATTCTCTCCTCCTTTCCCCTGGTGGAGGAGTGAGCAAGTGGCTGTGTGGGGCTTAGCTGCCTGCTGGGGTTAGCCCACAAGATGTAAAGACACATGAGCTAATAATTGTGCCAATTGGTTTATAACTAGGCTGGTTAGCTCTTTCCAGAAGTGGACTTGCTAGTTTCAGCTCCATACTCCTGCCAACACAGCCGTACTGCTTGTTGAGACACGAATGGTATCTTCAGCAGTGCCGTGCTGCCTAATGGGAATGCTTACTTGAGGCTAACTCACTCAGGGGTCTTTGCCCTCTCATTGTTTAGTAAAGGAATATCCTATAGGCTGGCTAAAATAATAAATGCCTTTAGGAATTTTCATCCAAAACTGTGGTGGGCTTAGTACTTTGTGTGTCTCAGAACTTTACTGAAAGATGCACACAATTGATAGGAAGCTGAGAGGCCCTGGTAAAGCCAAAGACTTAGAACTGAAGCGTGCATGTAGCGACCACTCCTGACCACTCTGTAGAAATGCTTACCTGATTTCGGGGTGAGTTCATTATGCTGGCAGTCACTGCATGGGCAGTAGTGTGCACAGCAGTGAGCTCTTGCCTTTCCCGCCAACTCTGTTCATATTTCTTGCATGAGGGACCCACCTAGGGCTAGAACCAATTCTTTCTGTTTCAGAGCTTCAGGGAGTAGCTGTGGTGGGCTACAGTAGGATTAAGAGACAGATGAGAGATTATGTACTTCAGGTAGAAGAGAGGACTGGGTTCTGAAGTGTGTGAAATGTATACGTGGTTGAAGGCCTGAGATAAGAGATTGGGCAAGAGAACGTGTGTGTGAGAGAGAAAGGTGATGATGTGCACCAACAGACTGTAGAGTTGTCTTTCAAATGCTACCATTCCAATCCTGCAGACTTACTTAGCAGCTCTGTGTAATACAGACTTGAGTGTAAAATCTTGGCATGTAGAGTTATTACTTTATTTAAATCTTTAGTTTTTATGTTACTAGCATTGTTACTTCTGTAGTAGCATTCACAGATTTCAAAGAATGGTGAAGGACAAAAAGGCTCCAAAATTTTCAGTCATTATAGAGCTTTAATTTGAAGAGGACAGCTGATAAACTTCTGAATTGCTATACATTGAAATAACTCCTTAACTGGAGGTACAGTAAAAAAAAGAGTGTATTTTTGTCTTAATACAAAAATTCAAAAATGGTTAGTTACAGACAAGCTACTAATTTTTCATTGAAATATTTTTACTTGGGCTAAAATTCTACTGAAAAATACTGGTTCTGCTCTATCGTATTTTAAATCTGTTTTTCTGTAGTTAAAGTAAGAACTTGAGCCTTTTATACAACACACTGTCTGTGCTGCTGTAGTACTAGTAATAGACTTCAGAAATGCCTGAAGAGGCTAAGGCAGAACAGAGGTTACACGGGCAACATTGGAACAGCAGTACACATAATTTCTTCTCTTTCCTTTGCAGGCATTGCGAGTAATGGCGAAAATTATGCGGGAATGCTGGTACGCCAACGGAGCTGCTAGGCTAACAGCTTTGCGCATTAAGAAAACATTATCGCAACTTAGTCAACAGGAGGGGATAAAGATGTAATCCTGGATTTGCTACCGAAAAATACTGTAAAAATCTGTATCTGCACCAGAGTGGCGTGTTAAGAAGGTTAATTGTTCTACCTCACTGGGGGAACAGAAGGATACTGCTGCCTTTTAGTACTTCATAGGAACGTCACTTACTAGGATTTTTGTGGATGTGCTGAACAGATGTGTTGGGTCCTTTTCTGTGCACTATGAACCTCTTTCCCAGGTTACTTACAAAACATTGCGTAGTCTAGTTTTATTTTTATTAACCTCTTTTTTTATTTGGAAAGTTGATAGCTGGTCTTAACTTCTAGTTAACTGTGCTAAAAATAGGAGGTCACTTTTAAAATGGAGCTGGTTCACTATATTGTTCTAGAGTGCATTGGTGGCTCTTTAAGCAGCTTTATTCCTGGCTGGTACATTGGCTATTCTGAACCATCATCACGCTTCTCTGATTCAGATTGTGAATGTACTGTTGGAGTATACTTTGCTAGCTATTAAGGCAGTATATCTTGGACTCTTACCTTGATTTACAGATTGACCTCGTTCAGTTGTGGGAACATAATTTATGCAACTATACTTTATACATGATTACTAGGTTTTTTCTACTTTTTCCAGAACATTACATTGCCTTCAAAATAGATTGTATTATGCCAGTAAGTGCCACTTTTGAGTCTTTTAATGCAAAACGGTAGGAGTGTACAAAGCCTATGGTACTTTTGGTTTCAAAAAATACAAGTTAAAGATCAGCTGTTCCTTTGCCTAGCTAACATCTAATTCACGCTCGTTTTGGCACCTGAGTACCTAATTTGTGGAGTACTTTTAATTTTACCAAAATCTGACTCTTTAAACCACAGTAGAAGTTTTCAATAGTGTAAGCTAATTAATTCACTGTCATATTTTGTAGTTGTCAAAGTCATGAGTCATAATTATATATAAAAATTTGTTTTATCAAGTGATACTTCTAAAGTGCTTGAAGTACCTGTCTATTTCAGAAAAGTAGCAAGAGGAGTAAGATGTTCTTAAGGGAGATTTTGCTCCATTAAATCAAATATCAAAAGCATATTTTCTGTGCAGTTCTGCAGAGTCTTAAGGCTCAAATAACAATATTTGCAATTAAATGAGGATTAAGTGCACCTGTAATTAGGGACAAGTGATTTGGGCTTTTGTACTAGAAAGTTCAAAGCTGCTTATAAATTTTATGTGCATATGTGTGTGCCTCATACACAAAGTGGCGAGCTACAGAAAGTGGTGAGCTGCAGGTCTTTGGTTACAAATACGAGAGGATTCCAGCAATCCTCTTCATAGTTACAAGAACAAGGCTTATGGTGACTTGTGTTGTCATAAGAACACAGAAGAATATGCATGGCTTTAGTCAAGATTTGCCTGAGATTTTAAGGTTATCACCAGCTTTTTGTGAACTTGTTTAGAAATTTAATTGATTTCTGCCCAAACATACAACTTCTGAAGGGGACTGGGGGAATTAGTATGGAAAATTATCTTTTAAAAACTGCTGTTACAAAGATATTTTTTTAATTGGAGTTTTAGGAAGATTCTGGTTGACCTTTGGTTTCATGAATGCCCAAAACACTCAGTAGTATTTCAGTATGTAAATGTGCCTGGTAATTATATGCCACCATAACTCCTAGTCTCCGAACACATTGGTATCTATCCTGTTACAGAACACACAGGAACTTTAACTCAGCTTCCTTTTCATTCTTCAGCATTCAGGCCACAGAGTTTTTCACAAAGCCAGTAACAGGAGCTGGACAGTTGCTAACAGCAGCACAGTCAAGATTGTATTCTGTGATCTGTGATAGATGACACTTAAAGCAGTAAGGTGGATGGGCCCAAGTAATAAGAGTGTGTATAGGTGATATAAGAGTTAGCCAAAATAAGCCTTAGCATTTCACTAACTCTTGTGTATTCCCAAATTTTTAGTGCTTTCTTTGAGATAGGCTTAAATTATGTGGGAATTACAGACCTTCAGAGATTGCACTGCAAACAATAAGTCTTATTCAGCCACCTTTATGAACTGGTTTGCTCGTACTTGGAAGATGGCATCCAGGAGAAGAGGAAAAACTAAGATAAATTCTTAGACAACAGTTGGGTTTAAACATATGTGCAGGTGTCACGCTTACATTAGGCGTTATCTGACCAGTCAGGCTTATGTGTTTCAGGCTTTTAGTAAACAAAACTCGATCAAAAATGACTTCATATAAGTATTTAAAATAAACTGTGCCTTTGTGCAAATGAACAACTGCACACCACAGAGGTTTTCACAGAATCAGAGTATTAGGAGTTGGAAGAGACCTCGAAAGATCATCCAGTCCAACCCCCCTGCCAGAGCAGGATCACCTAGACTAAGTCACACAGGAATGCATCCAGGCAGGTTTTGAATGTCTCCAGAGAAGGAGACTCCACAACCTCTCTGGGCAGCCAGGTCCAGTGCTCTGGCACCCTCACAGTAAAAAAGGTTTTCCTCATGTTCAGGTTGAACCTCCTATGCTCCAGGGTGCACTCATTGCCCCTTGTCCTATCACTGGACATCACTGAGAAGAGCCTGGCTCCTTCTTCCTGACACTCGCCCTTTACAAATTTATAAACATTCATGAGGTCCCCCCTCAGTTTCCTCCAAGATAAAGAGACCCAGCTCCCTCAGCCACTCATAAGGGAGATGTTTTCAATCATGACTATTCTAAAACAATGATTGAATATAACTAAACTCCCAAGTCTAGTCTACTTGGCAGGCCTCTCTGACAAGCTCTATGTACCTAAACAGATATTTCAAGAAAACAGGTTAGCATCAAAGTAGAACTTACTATCTCTACATACTAATTTCAAAGGCTTACTATTTAAACAATTTGTTAACTAGGTTAAATTTTGAGTTTTTCATAGGCAATCCTGGATCTTTACCATAGAAACAAGTGGTGTAGTTCATACTTTAGAATCACCAGGCTACTTGGCATGCTTCAGGTCTTTATAGCAATCTTGATGGTAACATGAGAAAGCTTCAAGTATAATTAATCAAATAATTTCATTAGTGCCTTTTTTTAGCACCTGCAAAACCTTATCACCATAATGCTTAGTTTCATAAGATACAGGGAGCAGTTCTGTTGCATTTAAGAGAATCTATGGCAGCTGAACAGCATCATGGCATGCAGATTATTCAGTCAACTCTACACTGGTTTGTTACTTCTGTCTCATCTCAACCAACTATTAGTCTTCATTCTCCTGAATTGCTAGCAAATGTTCTTACATGGTTCTAATTTTTCACTTTGAAATAACAGCTTGCAAAAACGAAGCACAGGAAGGATGCTTGATAGTGTGTAATGTTGGGAACATTGTTTTGGGACAACCTTATTATTCATATAGGAATGCAGAACAGGAAAATTCTGAATAGAGCTATATGTATCCTCAGTTCTGACACCACAGCTTCAAGCTTTGTTCTTCTTTTCCACTATATAAACTGAACACCTTTTACAAAGGCTGTGTCTGTATATATTATGTAACTTTAAATGTTACCTGTGTAAGATCATATCTTATATATATGGACACAGGTACACATAAGTATTTTTTAAATTAAGATTGTAATATCACCAGATCTGCTCTTGGAAATCCAGGGGGACCAAAATATTTTAGCATTCAAAATATTAATTTTATATCATTTCAAGTATATACCAAAACAGTTTCTGATGAATACTGATGCAAATGTTTATTGTAAATATTACATACATTATACATTCAGTTATGTTTTGTGGATTTAATCAATTTGTCATTTTAGTAGCATTGAAGCCTCAGTTAGGTTTACAGACTTGTGACCAGGGGGATATGGACATGGAGAATAAAGAGCATTGGAAATGGTATAATGCTGAAAAGCCCAAAATGTTGCTTTTGGAATGCTGGAATTCTTCAGGGACCTTCCACCCTTAAAAGCTGGAATTTTGGGATGTTTCTCAAGCCGACTTTCCAAGTATGACACACTTGGGAGTGTGTCACCCTCCAATGGTTCCATTTGTAATCCTAAGAAAGACTTTGTATATAGGGTAAAAGATACTGGGATTGACTGTATGGGGACATGAAGGTGTCCAAGAAATAAGAGGCTATTTTATTTTTTTTAATGGTTCTGAGTGCGATTGCCATGAAATTCACCTTTTAGTTAGTTTCTTGTTTATATTGTGCCATTGAAAGGATCGCAAGGTGTTAATCATTTTGCGTTTTTAAAAATACTTCACCATATCAGTTGCTTTAAACTCAAATTACCTCTTAAAAGACCAAGGTACATTTACCTCATGTGTATATAATGTTTAATATTTTTCAGAACACTATCCAGGTTTGCAGTTACATGTTTCTAGAAATATGGGTATTACTAAATTTACAACTTCAGCGGTACTAAATGTATTATCTGGTGCCCCAAAACACTTTAATTTTTTGTATTTTATTGTATTAGCAAGTTTGCTGCTTTGTCACTGTAGCACCTGCTCTTACGTAGCTGTGTGGATACTGCCTTGTAAATTTTCCTTTTTGGATGATTTGAGGATCTTGTACAGATGCGTGTCACTTTTTTAAACCTTACAAAATTGTGCATTTCCCTTACATTTCTGAAAATATGTATTGTATTTGTAGAGTATACATTTCAATGGATTGTAAATAGGACAGTAGAAGAGTGGATGCCTATGTTAAGTGCTAACACTACAGTAGAGAGATTAAAGCAGTGAAAATAAATAACTTTTTTCAAAACACGTGAGTTGTCTTTCAGAGGAAGAAGTTGCAGCTAGGTATGGGTTTGGATGTGATGGTCTGATGTGGATGGCAAAATGTGGGTTTACTGTCAATTCCTTTCCTCAGAAGGAATTTCTGCTGGAATAGAAATGGTGAAGGAAGGGGTTTGCTAATGCTGAGGCAATCCATCTCCTGTGTGCTGCATGGGTAATGAAAAAGCACCTAAAAAGCGCCTAATAGTGTCTCCTACAGTAATGTTTAAGTACCTTGCTGGTGTATTTGATCTATTGGACGAAATTACTTAATGACAAAGTGTTCCTTCTCTCCATTTACGTTTACAGAGAAGTAACAGGGCTGCTGAGGGTTTCAGGCTCCTCAGTGCGTCACAGATCAGCAAGTAAAATCAGATGGGGTTGGAGTAGATTACTTCTGTGCAAAACTCTGGGTTAGACTGGTGTTACATTTCTGAAGGAAGATGAAGATGTAGACCTAACAAAAAATACAGCGTCTTGTCCTTCCCTAACTTTGTGTGAATCCATTAATTTTGGTAAAGAAATGACCAGGCAGAGTTACCAAAAAGCACTTATTCCACCAAACTCTTTTTCCAAAATGGTAAGCTGGAACATAGCCAAAAGCTGTGTCAAAATGTTCCTGTTTAAACTCTTTC